AGGGGAGGATTGGAAGGAGAAGGAGTAAAGGCTACTGCCTCCTTCGACAGTATTAAAATAAAAGTAAACAATATTAAAATTAGATCCACAGTAACACCCAAAGTTTGTGGATAGCGAAACTGGGGAGGCATTTGACCAGAACAGTCTCCAAGGAAGATCTGGAATTTTCCACTTTTCTAGCAGTTTGATAAAGCCGCACCCCGCCCTTTTAGGTCCTTTCTAAGAAATTTCAACCTAGCCCAAATCTGAATTGATTAACGAAAAAGTCTTTGATAATGCAGAATGATCTGTCCAGCAGAGATGTGCGACGAGGGGTACTTGTGGGCTTTGGCAAAGGATGGGCAAGTCTGTCAATTCTGGTGAGTCTCAATTTATCACTTTTCCAATTTTAAGTTAGCTTTTTCACATTTTCTCATAGGAATTCATCAGTATTTCAGAGCGAATTTCTCTCAAGAGATTTGTTTGAATGCAATATGCCTCAAATGCACTTTTTTTTTGCACGCAGATTGGTCCAATATAATGCATTCTTGTATGTTGCTTTCATTAACACTTTAAAAATGCATACCCCACCCTGGTATATACATTTCTGAATGGATTATTTGGCTGGAGAACTATACCGCAAAATTAAAAGAAGGGCAGTGTCAGGGGTTCAGGGACAGAGGCACAGGGTAGGCAGGAGATGGAGAGCGATGGGGATGAATCCCAGGACAGCGAGGAAGAGGATGACAATGACTCAAGAGATTCCATGAGTCTTTCCAGCGAATCAGAGGATTCCCAGAAGGGCGCCGGTGGTCAAGGCCAGGGAGCCCCAGGGGGACGTGTCAGGAGCAGGGGGCCAGCGGGGATCCCAAAGTGGCAGCTGGGCGTCAGGACCAGCCTCCCCGCCAGAGTGCAGCGAAGGGGTGGAGTTTCCAGTGTATCAGGGAAGCAGCTCCGGCAGCAGAGAAGGGAGGGAGGTCGGAGCAAGCCACCCTCCCGGAACGGGAGGGTAGTGAAGGGAGTAGTGTAACTGTCAAGAGGAAGGTTAGAGGTTGGGCGCGCGCGCCAAGTTCAAATGTGGAGGCGCGCGGAAGTACAGGGAGCCCGGAGGAGGAGCCAGGTCCCAAAGCCCGCAGGAGGGAGAAGAGCAATCTGGGGATTCCGCGTCAGGGAATCCAGGAGGGCGACACCCCAGCGGGCAGGAAGACCCTGCGGAAAAGGAAAGAGAGGAAGAGGTGGAGCAGCGCAAGCCTCTTAAACTGGTGCAGGGGAGGGACTGACTCAGAGGGGACTTCAACGGTCTAAGCGTAGCAGACGTGGGGCTGCGCGCCTCGGATGTGAAGCAAACAATGAACTCCAATAAACACTTTTGTATATAAGAAGAACTCGGCGTTGGTCTTTTGTGAGCTGAGACCTGAGGCAGCCCTGACAGGCAGATTTTGAAGGATGGCCAAAGCCTGAGTCAGGGATGCCAACTTGAATAAAATATTGTGGGGGCCCAGGTAAGCCCACCTTGCATAATAAATCACATGATGCAGTGCACACACATTATTTGAATGTGAATGCCCATCAACTTTGGGGGGGGGGGCAGTCCCCTCAAATATTTTTTTCTGAAGCCCCCACAGCCCCTGTAGGCTTCTATGGCCTTAGTAATGCTCTGGGAAGTATGAATTGGGTAGGTCCTCTTTGAGATGTGAACTGAACTGAATTGCTCCCACATCCCTAGCTTTGGCTGTATTGAAACAGGATGCCTTGCGCAATGTGTTGCGCATTTGCAAGGGCATTTGCATAAGTGACATTCAGAAAGTCTTTTGGTCTAGAATGCTGAAGTTGCTCACACAGACAAGGGAGCCATTAAGAAAAAGGAAAGGGCATCCTTCTCAGGGGAGGTCTGGCATGCGCAGAGATTTTACAAAATGAAACAGGTCTGTGAAAAGGAAGCAACATACTATAGTACCCCACCATGCCCAATATAAATGCGGGGAGTTTGGGTGGGGAGGCAGAACGCTAAGAAAAGATAATGACTAGTCAAAGAATAGGATTTAGCCATGCTTTGCCCTTCCGTCAAGCCATCAGAGTCACACCTGAGAAAAATTGGCTCGGTAAAGAGAAACCCAGTCAGGCAAGTCTGAATGGAGAGCAGGCAGGTAGCCGTGCAAGCCATTGCTTCATGGTTTGTAGCGTCTGTGCCAAGGTGAACATCAACTCCAGTTCACATCAGAAAGAATAAACAGTGGTGGGGGAGGCACCAAGGGATTTTGTGTTTGTGCTGCACGTGTGCGAGAAGCTGTAGCTGTACACACCGCTCTCGTGCCAGAGAGAGGAAGAAGGAGAACTCCTCCATCTGCACACAGACTCCAGGCAACAACCAGGTGGCGAGCGGGCTTCCTGAGCCCAGAGCTTGTGCAATGGGCTACCATTTGTGCTGCAGCAGATTCAGCAAGCAAGCTCAGCGCCAGTGGCAATTGTGGGCTGTAGACAAGACTCCGAGTGCAGCCCTTTGCATGGTAACAGCAGCTCAGCTATAATGCTTTGGATTTCAAAGGGACATGTTTATGTTTGTCTGCACATGTGTACATGCTTTCTTTGGGAAGACAGCTTTCTGAATGAAGAGGAAGGAAAGAACAGCCTGCCACCAAGCTTTCAGGAAGGCCTACAAATGCCCTGGCTTTTCCTTATAATCTACCCCTCCTGCATAGAACGGCATTTTCCACCAGACACTTTCAAGCCACAGGGCCCATTCCACCATTTAATTGCTCTTTGAGTAAGAGGGCATCAGCGGGTCTTCCTCACCCCATTTTGCCTTTGCCACGAGAAAGAGAAGAAAAGACAAAGCACTTGATTTTGCCATATCATGACCTCTTCCAGCCTCGCAATAATATATGCTTATGGGAAGGAGCTTTCTGGGCAAAGGCTGTAATTTCTTGGCAATTTCAGCTATGCTTTACTTGTGCGCTACTCAGGTTTCCTCGGTCTGTTCCTTACACATCCCGTGTGTGGCAGACCTGACCCTGTTTGTAAGATGCCTCTAGGAGCAGCTCCATGTGTTAGGTTAGCTGTGGGAACAACCAGCCTTGCGCTGGAGTTTCCTGCATGTGTCTGCACATGTAAGCACACCAGAGAATCCTCGCTGGATCCAAGTTGCACATATGTGTCAATGATGGCCATGCTTTATGCGTTTGCTACAGGGGACATCAATGCAAGAAAGAGACTGGAGTTGTCTACTGCAGCAATTGAAAGGTGGAGAACTCCCCTGGTTTGGGTAATTTGTTCTTTGCCAATACAGGGCCAACACTGAGTGTGAATTGATTGTCCCGCTGAACCTGCTCACTACATCTTTTTTTCATGTTAACTTTCTAAAGTGCAAGAAAAGGGGAAATTAATCCAAAAGCAGTAAGCTTGTGTCTGGAAGATCGTACCAAAGGACACTGTATCTCTATCCTTCCTCTTCTCTTTCACCCGTCCTCACCCCAAACACTGACTAAACATTCAGCTGCCCCAAAGGGCTCCTCACTGCCAGCTTTAACTTCCCCTGTGGAGCTGGTCACATCCCCCAGTCCGTGTAAATGTGCATGGCCGTTTCTTCTTCTCTGCAATGTAGCAGCGATGGAGAAGAAATGCACAAATGGAAATCTCGTTCGTGTCTTGCTAGCCATGAAAGCTAAATGCAGCACCAAAGAGTTACAAAAATATAGTTGGGCTAGCAATCCCACTGGAAAATTACTAATGCTATGAAATGTCAAAAAATAATGGTCATCTTTTCTGTATAGATATATATCATTCTTTCCCATAGCCCACCCCAGGTTTACCAATTAAAATTAATTTTCTGTTACTTCTATTTACACACACACACCACACACACACACACCTTCTTTCCTGTAGTGCAGAATACCTTCCTTATGCGGGTTCATTTTAAAGCCTTAGCTTTTCACAGTAACAATTTGCTTTTGTTATTTAAAGAAACATGGCAAACATCTTAAGATTAATGGTTGTTTTTTTTTAAAAAAAACCCACATTACATCATGACTCTATGATCACACTGAGGTGAATTCCGCTGAAGGTATGAGTTGTGACTGAGTGTCTTTGTCCCCAAAACACAACTCCTACCTCTTGCAATTTAAGAACTGGAGGCGCAACCAGCTTCTCACTGAAATCTATGGACACATCTCCAAAAGGATGTTCAAGGATGTAAGTTACAATTTTAGATTTAATGCCATGAATTTGCACCACTCTCTGAAAGGATATAAGACTGTTATCTAGCTATCGATATATATCTATATAATATAGGTTCTTTTTTCTTGGATCATAAAATGATTGCTTTCTAATATGCAACTTTGGCACCCCTCAATCTCTCCCAGTGGACCCTGACTCTTCCTTTCTTTTCTTTTTTTAAAAAAATCCCCTGGCCCAACTCATTCCATCTTCAAACCATACACGAACAACATGGGGCAGTATACAGTATATGACTTATTTCTCTTTTGCTTGTCTTTTTTTCTTTTTTTTCTTTTTTTTGCGTGCTTGCTTAGAAACTGGTATGGCCTTACAGAGCAAGAGTCTGGTTTAAGCGTAATTGCAATCCTCTTTGCACATGGAATCATGAATCATTCCATTGGCTTTAGAATCTAAGCTGTTAATAGGCTAAAAAAGGATTTATTTTTGCATTATAATTAAGCATGAATATATATTTAATATATTACACTGCTTGGACTGCCGCCGTAGCAATCCTAAACTTCCCAGTGCTGTAAAACAACTTGCCCCTCCCATAATCTTACCCCACTCAAGTTTTCGAAAGCTTTCTTCCCGCTGCCCACCCCCCGTAATATTCCTCAGTTCATATATTTTGTTTTAAAAGTCACCCACTTTGTTTTTGTTTTTTAAAATAGATATTGCCACATTCTTAAATTCATGCATCACTGCATTGCTATTGCACGTAGTGTGTATAGAGTAACCATCTGTCTTGCCTTTAACCACCATCCATCCACATCTTCTTGGAATTCCACCTACGAACCTTGCTCCCCAGCTCACGGCTTGTGGACATCTTCCCTTCGGACGATCTTGTAGATGATCCAGTAGAAAATGTTGAAGATGAGGAAAGCCATGGGGAAGCCGATCCGCGAGATCTTATCTATCTTCTTGGCCCGCTGGACGAAGAGCTTGCGCATCTCGGCGTCAGACTTTGAAGGGGGCGGCGCTGGGTTGGCCGTGTTGTTGTTGTTGGCTCCCTTGACCGAGATGCCGTCCTTGGCCTGAAGGCAGGCGGGCCCCATCCCGTAGGCCGAAAAGTTGAACCTGCCTTCTCCGGTGTCGTCCTCCTGAAATATATTAAACATAGGGCTCTACTTACAAATAAGATATAGACAGTGCACCCTTGCTATAAGGCTCCCCTACCATAGCTCCAAAGTCCCTGGGGACAGGTCCCTCTTGTGAGGCCTCGCTCAAGTTGGGCAACCCCCTCTTGGAGAGACCAGCCTTATAGATGGGTGCAGTACAAAGCACAGATGCAAAGCAGGGGATCCATTGGAAAGTGGGTTGACCTGCCTTTCCTTCGGGAACCGTTCCTTGTCCTCAACAAGATATCCCCTGTTTTGCTTCTGCCCCTCCTCCCCATCCATACCTTCTTTATTCTTGGCTTGCCCAGAAGGAGTGGGCTCCATGTAACTCATATAGCAAAAGTCGTTCCATGTGGATTTCTACGGAGTTACATGGACTTTGAGCAGAAAAGGCTCGTCCTTTAAAAGATACCTGCGTATAGCATCAGTTTCAATGGCCAATGCTCCTCTCTGTCTCTTTGGGGCTTTCGCTTTCCACTCTACTTCCTCCCCCAGTCTCTTGCAGAGATCCTCAAGGTCATAGAGGCACAGCTACAGGCTCAAACTGGGCTAACAGTCATCACAAGGGATTCTGGGACTGGGTTCTGCCGGTGTGTGGGAATGTGGGTGGAGCTCACGGCATCCTCACTAAACTTAAGAACCCAATAAAGAATATTTTATGCTTCTATGAGCTGGAGAAAGGCTACATTCAGGCTGACCTGCCTATTTTTGAAAGAGTTAGTTTTTTAAAATAATAATAATAAAAAAATTAAAGATAGTGAGACGTCACCTACGGGATGTATGAATATATGTTATACTGTAAACTGCCCTATGCTCCTCAGATGAATTTAATACCATGTTGGCCTGAATATAATCCTCACTCCCCCCCCAAAACTCTGACCGTTAAAAGTTAAAGTGCGGCTTAAATTTGTGACCTTACAAAAATTGGCTTTTACGATACTGCTGCTGAAACAGACATCTGGTAAAACGGAATGGGTGTGAGTGCCTGCGGAATTTTAAGGGAGTGGCTTATATTCAGGCATTGTCTTTTTTCCTCTCCCCCCCCCCACCAAATTTTAAAAGTGCGGCTTATATTTGGGCCAATACGGTAAATTAAATAAATAAATAAGAATTCTTGTCAGGGCCAGGAAAAGAAGCCAAATAATTGATGGCCTTTAATTCAGAATATGAAGCAGCTGTGATGATGCTCTGAACACAAAGGTCATTTAGCAATTCCACGAGCTCCTGGCCTAGATATTAGCATATAGAAACTTCTGTTTTTCAAGCTTTCTTAAATATCAGTACACACAGAGTAGGACATCCAGTTTAAGACTCTGCATTCATTATCATGGGTGAAGCATGACTTCTCCAAGTTATATGCTGGGAAGCAGTTGGAGGAAAAGGTATGGTGAAAATTGCCATCAGTTAACCTATGGACTTTAATTTAGACCAAGTTCCCTATGCATGGCTTTTCCTTTTCCTTTCCTTGCAGAGTATCTTTTAAGAGCGGCCTTGCATGGTATGGATGAATTGTACTGCCACAAGTTCACAGCAAGGAAGTATGAATGGAGTTGAGAGCGCTTTGGCAAATCTGAGCAAATAATACTGAATGAGGTTTTGCTTCATCTGGAGTTCGCTGCCAGGCATATGACTTACCTATGGAACCGTTTAGTCTCAGGAGCAGGTTGGATCTGTAAGCGCATCATCCCTGCTTCTCTTTCCTCCCCCCTCCCTCCTTCCCTGGGGATAGCACCGGCTCTCTACAGTCAACACCAAAAGAGTGGGGTCTCTTCTTTAGCTACCTGTTCCCTGTTCACAATGTCTCCTTTTACACCTTGAACTGGCACCGCGCAATATGCCGGTTTTGATGTTTCCAGTGTACTTTCTTGGCTGTGAAATGTTCTAAAGGTGGTATTCAAAGAGTTATCCTGTTGAGTTTTTTTTTTTTACTTTTTCCAGACTCCCTTCACTCCCATGTGCAGAAATAACACAAAGTGCTTTGGAAAGTCTGGGTTTCAAAAGCAAAGGGAACTGCTGTGCAAGTTGATAAAAAAAAAGGCCAGCACCGTTTGGGTGTGCAGCACTAGCTGAGGGAAGAAAATCTCTGAAATGTCCCTGTCTTTTCACCTTTGTTATCTGAAAGTTTTGCTCCCTCCTGGACTCATTTCCTGTTTTCATTTTTAAAAAACCATTAACAGCTTTATATCATTGACAATTTTATTATTGGCTTGCCTTAGAATCACAGACTTGGAAGGTACCACAAAGGTCATTTAGTCCAACCCTCTTTTTGCCCAATGTTGGGCTTGAACCCATGAAGAAGAAGAAGAAGAAGAAGAAGAAGAGTTTGGATTTGATATTCCGCTTTATCACTACCCTAAGGAGTCTCAAAGCGGCTAATATTCTCCTTTCCCTTCCTCCCCCACAACAAACACTCTGTGAGGTGAGTGAGGCTGAGAGACTTCAAAGAAGTGTGACTGGCCCAAGGTCACCCAGCAGCTGCATGTGGAGGAGCGGAGACGTGAACCCGGTTCCCCAGATTATGAGTCTACTGCTCTTAACCACTACACCACATGACTCTGAGATTGAGAGTCTCATGCTCTACCGACTGAGCTATCCCAGCTCATTGTATCTTTGCATTTGGCTTGCAGGTTTGTGGCACTTTTTATTGTTTTAGTAGGTTTGTTAAGATTTCCTCTCCCCCCCCCCCCCATGAATCATTCTTGTGCTTTGTGGCCTCCTTGATCCTCTTGTTTAACCATGCTGGCATTCAACATCCAGATGGTCCAAAGAATGAAAAAATATTCCCAGGGTCTAAGAAAGCCCCCCTTTCTTCCCCTTTCATCCTTCTTCCTGGGGAAAGAGAGAAAAGGGGAGGTGATCTTATGCTGGTTTAATGGATAAAAGGAGATAGGAAAGATCACAGCATCAGTCTGCCAAGAACAGCTGCTCTCAGTGCTAGCCAGTGTTCTGCACTGTGTGTAGGTGCTGCCTGCTTTCAAGTACTTTAATAGATCTGTACGCTACTCTCCCCTGGGGAATTTCCATGCATGCATAATATTTGTCCTCAATTAGAACCAAGATAAAAGGAAGTCAGGAGTTCATAGAACTATTATTTCTACAGTTTTGGCACTAAACTATAAAAAGAGATTCCAATTTATTTAATAGGCAGATTTAGATTATGGTGACACAGGCAAATGTGGGTTATCAAGTTATTAAATGGAATTTGCTATTTTAATTTACGTGATAGATGAAGCGTTGAAAATTACCACCCAGTTAAAAGAGAAGGGGCGAGTTAAGAATTGGGACGGGAGGCAGTCTTTTAACCTCAAGGTGACTTGGGGGCTTTTCAAAGGTGGTTTTTAAAAAAATGTACTGTCTGCTTATCTTTCTATTTTAAAAATAATAATAAAAAAGAATAAAATCTTGTTCTGGCCAGCAGGTGGCAGCAATGCGAAGCAAGAAACTTATCTGTAGCCCAAGAGTCACATTCTGCATTTTAGCCGTACCACAAAGATAGACTTCTGAAACTCATGGGGGTAGAAGCTCAGCTCTAAGGACTTAGAAAAGTCTGTGTGGAAACGGTGGGTATATTTACATTTGGGAAGGTAAAATTGAAGCCCATTGTAATATTAAACTCCCACGCACCTAGCCCTCCCACCAGCCAGTTTTGATATTTTTCAGAGAAAAAGCAGCCAGGAGATCTGGTTCAACTGCTTCCTCTCTTGCCCCCCTGCCTGCCCGCCATGTCCAGTGTTCCACTGCTAGTGCAAATTCTGGCACAAGATTCAGGAGACTAGGTGTACAGACTGATATTAAATCTGCACCTTATTCAGATAGAAGAAAGAGAGAAAGAAAAGGGAAGAGAGAGAGAGAGGAAGAAAAGAAAAGAAAAGAAAAGAAAAGAAAAGAAAAGAAAAGAGAAGAGAAGAGGCAAGCCTCAAGATGGTGATGAAAGGTAACAGAACTTTAATGAAATGATAACTCAAATTAATTGTCCCTCTGCATTTTGATTGAAATATTCCTCGAGGAAGAAGAATGGTTGAATTATATTTGAGAGATGTTGCCTTACCAGAAAAATAACATTGTTCAACTTTCTGTTTCATTACAAGTTCCCTTTATTTCTCAGTATAATTTTCAGGCTAGCCTCTTTCTTTTCTTTCTCTTTTGTAGTTCCAGCCAACCTTTCTCCCTCTGCAGAAAGGCGACAGGCCGCCAGAAAAAAGAAGCAAAGTACCTTCACAGAATTTTTGTGGCCAAATAGTAGATTGTCACTCTTTTCCAGCTGCTCAGTGGGATATTTATTCCCTCTTCTCCATTTGCTTTTGGCTGTTATGAAGTCGCCCTCACAAACCCACCATGAGTGAGGCAGGCAAACAAACAGCAAATGGCTGGAGTGGTAGCAGGAACACGTCAAGCTGCCTTATGCTGAGAGTCACAACCTTGGTCCAGTGTTGGCGTTCATCTGCCTTGAGACAATAGAGTGCGCCTCCAGGGGAAAGAAAAACAACTAGAGAATCACAGAGCCTGCTGTAGCTGCAGAGACTGGTAACTCATACCTGCTGCCTCCTGTGTTGCTTTTGCTGTGTTAGCAGCACCAAAGTGACCTCTCCAGGGTGCAAACATGGGCAGTGTGTATGGAGGTCCTGGGCTGCCCAGACAACAAGACCCCTCTCTCGGCTTCACTGATGTGGACCAAAGGAAAGCAGAGCAATATATTTGGCACCATCTTGGCTGCAGGAGTTATCAGAAGGAGGCACATAAGATGTCATCCAACAGTCTTAGGGACTATACTCCAGATTTGTGTAAGGTTTACTCCATAGTCTTCTCTTCTTCCAAATATGTCCCGAAAGACAACGGGTATGGATTTCCCCCTGGGGTTTACTCCAGAAGCCTTTCTCATGAATGAGTATAGACACAAGGCAGCAGAGATTTAGGATCAGAGATTTCCTTATTCTAGATGGGCTACCTTCCCAGGTTGATAAGCCCATCTGCCCCCCCTTCTCTCTACAGCGGGTGCAGAAACTTGCTTCTTGATTGTTGAACCCACTCTTGGTTTCCTCCGCTCAATCCGCCAGAGCCTCTAGCTAGCTCAGTAGTATATTCACTGCCTAGCAGCAGTTCTGTGGCATTTCAGGCAGGGAATGTTCCAGGCCCTACTTACAGATGATGGAGATTGAATCGTCTCTGTGTAAAGCAGGTGCTCTGCTACTGAGTTACGACCCTTTCCCACAAGCTGTCTCCTGCAAAATGCTTTGCAAAATACCAGAGCCCAAGGGCTAATGACAATATAAAGAGGAAGCTCTGAGCACAGCTCTAGCTTCTATGAAGCCCAAAGAGGAGGTCTAAATCCAATCCTTTTTCATTTACCTCCCCTGCAACCCTCTCTGGTAAAGCCTGAACAAGACTACAAAGCACCTGTTTCAAGCTGGTTGGAACCCTGAACAAGAAGAGTTTGGATCTGATATCCCGCTTTATTACTATCCTAAGGAGTCTCAAAGCGGCTAACATTCTCCTTTCCCTTCCTCCCCCACAAAAAACACTCTGTGAGGTGAGTGGGGCTGAGAGACTTCAAAGAAGTGTGACTAGCCCAAGGTCACCCAGCAGCTGCATGTGGAGGAGCGGAGACGCGAACCCGGTTCACCAGATTACGAGTCCACCGCTCTTAACCACTACACCACACTGGCATAGAACTAGAGCATGCTAAGGGCTGGGGATATACTGCAACGTTCTGTTGTAGTCTCCACTTGCTGTTTTTGTCTCATATATGTTTTGCCCCATCAAAACATTTCTTTGGAGTAGGTTCAGAGTCGGGGACGCACAAGGAGGCCTACCAAGTTCACCTTACTCAGCTTGAGGCCAGTCACTGACAAAGTGCATCCATACAGCTTAGCATCATTACAGATGGCCAGTCAACCTCTGCTTAAAAACCCTCCTTCCTTGGAGGTTTTGAAGCAGAGGTTGGCTGGTCATCTGTCCTGGATGCTTCATTTGAGATCCCTGCACTGCAAGGGGTTGGACTGGATGACCCTTGGGGGTTCCCTCCCAACTCTATGATTCTATGATTTGGCAAACCCAACAGGGAGCTTGACTGGTGAGAGAGTTTGTTCTACTTACCTTTATATAGGAAACGGGCTACTTCAGCAGTGCAGTTCTGAGACCATTCCTTGCCTCCCAACCCAGCTAAAGAAAGCAGCATGGACCCATGAATGATATCGCAGCACGTGAAGCAATGCGGACAGCATGACCGGGAGAGCTTCAGTTACAGGCACAGGCTCTTTGAATCAGTAGAGTTAACTTTTTGCAAAACTGGGAGAGCAAGCTGAATGTCAGAGAAGCAGCTACTGCATTGGCCTTCTGTTTTGGTAGTTTCCCATCCATTCTCAAATGCTTCTCCCAAGCCACCTTAATATAACACATTATGGGCCGAGTTTCACCCTTTAACACAGTGGGCAGCTTTATAATGCCAATAACGGTGACCATTGGCGAGTAGCACAGCATTTGAAGGGAAGGTGTTTGCCTGCAAACCAGGGACACCCAGATGTCTTTGGGCTACAGCTTCTGCCATCTTTGGCTGGAACTGATGGGAGATGGCGTGAAATAGATGACTACATCTGCCCACCGTGCACCAGAGAGCATTGATTGGCTGTAGCTCCTGGCCCCTTCCAAACGATACACAAATCTCCCTTTCAAATATGGCTGCCGGGCTCGTCTTATTGGCTCATCGCCGACGTGCTCCAATCTTGCCTGCCCAAATGAAATGGTCTCCAGTGCCCATTCTCGATCAGGCCAGCCTTGCCCCAGGACCCGTCCATTTCAGCTGTGCTCTTCTACACGGCTGCGTCGGCTCGCGTATCGCTTACCTTATGGTGCCGCCTTCTCCTTCTAAACCTGAGCAGTTCCTTGTGCTGCCGGGACACAAAGTTGACAGCGGCGTACTCCAGCAGAGCCGAGAAGACAAACAGCAAGCACACAGCCATCCATATATCAATGGCCTTCACGTAGGACACCTGGGGGAGAAGAGAGGATGAGGTTGGCAACTGGAGCCAGGCGCTCTCCAGCCAGGTAGACCGGCAAGCCTAGCAAAGTCTGCTCCAAGTTAGCCAGATGGGTTGGTTTGGTTGCATCGCTCTCTGCTTGAGGGAGGGCCAAAGCGAGCATAAATGCCCAACCACTTTCAACTTTCCCAATATTTGTTGATTCATTTCCCCCTGTACCCATTCCCTAGTACAACTAAAGACCAAGCTACACATTCTGTTAACCACATAGCTTTGCCTTTAAGTGTAGAAAAAAGTGTAGTGCTTTTTTCCAAAGCACTAATATTCAGGTTTTTTTGTGAATCTGGATTGAGACTCTAGTTGAAGGAATGGGTTGGGGGCTTTAATCTTTCAAGATCTTTCATAATGCAGACCTCTGTTGCTCCTGTTCAGCACACCTGCAATTTGCATTGGACCCCCACCCCCCGCATTCGCTTTTCTGGAAACTCCTCCCCTATGCAAATTGCTGGCATGCCCTCCTACAATCTGGATCAGGTCCATAGGGCGGAGTAATGGGTTAAAGCCCTTTACCTGCTTATTCGGATCCTAATTTGTAACAACTCAACCATGCATTCAGACTGGCAACTTGTGTAACCAGTCACTTAATGGCACAGATATTGAAACAGCCAAATATTCTTCCCATGTCTCCTCCTCGTTCCACTACCCTGCCTTTCCTCTGCTATCTCCCTTGGTGGGCCTGTTTTCTATATTGTCAATCCCACAGTGTAGAGATCCATCTTCTTCATGCAGTGCTAGGTGGGTGGCTCTATAATGTATTTATTTATTTACCAGAATGGATATAGTGCTTGCTTCATAGAAGACCTCTAAGCAGTTTACGAAGGAATATAAAACATGTTAAACATCATACAGTGGTACCTCGGTTTATGAACTTAATCCATTCCGGAAGTCCGTTCTTAAACCAAAACTGTTCTTAAACCGAGATGCGCTTTCCCTAAGGAGGCCTCCTGCTGCCGGTGCCCTTCCACCGTTCGGATTCCGTTCTTAGACTGAGGTAATGTTCTCAACCCGGGACACTACTTTCGATTTTGTAGAGTTCGTAAACCGAATCGTTCATAAACAGGACTGTTCTTAAACGAGGTACCACTGTATTTGGTTATTTGGTACATAATATAAAGCCTGGTAACACACACACACACACACACACACACACACACACACACACATTATGTCAATGGAAATGGACTTCCCACTCCTGTATTTTGTCTTACAATAACTTGCCCCATGTATTTGGTACATAATATAAAGCCTGGTAACACACACACACACACACACACACACACACACACACATTATGTCAATGGAAATGGACTTCCCACTCCTGTATTTTGTCTTACAATAACTTGCCCCATGCATTTCAAAGAGATTTTCATCTCATACCCCATTTCACCCATCATACCTGTCTTAGTTTACTTAAGACAGCTGTATCCTACTGTCTTACACACCATTCTTCAGGCATTTGAGAAATCCTCCAGTATTTACAGTCCATTTATCTCACTGTCTTATAGAACAAGATTCCACCCTTTTCTTTGGATCAGGTTTGGGGAACCTTTGGCCCACCAGTTATTGCTGAACCACAACTCCCATTAGCTCTGGCCATTGGCCCTTCTTCCTGGGGCTGATGGGAGTTGTAGTTCAGCAACATCTGTGGAGGCTAATGGTTCCCCACACTCACTTTAGGCACTATCCCTTTTAATATTGGTGAGGCAAATATCTCAGGGTCTAAATGCAATCTTTCTACCCAAACAGAATGGATAGCTTTTGACCTTTGCTTGCAATCTCCTAGCACACACAGGTCCACGCATAATGGGCAAAGTCCCCTCTTGCACTTTGACAGAGAGCGAATGGGTTTGAAACATTACTACAGGGTTTAGGCAGCACTGAGATAGAAAGGAACATAGGAAGCTGCCTTGTACAGTCATACCTCATGTTACGTTTGCTTCATGTTACGTTTTTTCTGGTTGCGTCCCGTGGCAACCCGGAAGTACTGGAAAGGGTTACTTCTGGGTTTTGCCACTCACGAATGCGCAGAAGTGCTAAATCGTGCTTCGTGCATGCGCACAAGCACCAAATCGCACTGCGCACTTGTGCACATACAGTGCTTCAGGTTGCGGGCTTTTCATGTTGCGAACAGGCCTCCGGAATGGATCCCATTCGCAACCAGAGGTACCACTGTAACGAGTCGGAAGATTGGTCCATTTAGCTCAGGTTGTTTCAGAGTAGCGACATTCCCAGAACTATGCCAGAGATGCTGGGATCTGAACTGCAGGCCTGTTGCATACAGAGTAGATGCTTTGCCACTGAAGCATCACAATTTTCCTGCAATACGGAACCTACTGTATATTTATCAAGTTTTCCCCATGAATAATTCCATTCTTCCCCAGAAATTTCCATTTGTAATTTTGTTGCCTATTTTCTCTGCATATGCTGGGTTTTGCTTTTTTTTTAAATATGCAACAACAGAGCAAGTGCTTCCTTTGACTTTTTAACTTGCCTTGTATGGGGCCCAACCATTTGCCCCTCTAAGATCAGTACTGCCCACAATGACTGGCAGCGTCTCTCAGACATTGTCTCAGACAATGACTGGCAGCATTTCAGACAGTGGACATTCCCAGGAGATGCCAGGTATCGAACCTGGGATCTTCTGCATGCAATACTGATGCTCTACTGCTACTGCTGAGCTACCAGTGTTACGCCCTTCAATTGTTCTTCTCTCATCAGTCCTGGTTGAAAGAGAGCGACTGATTTGTACATGCTATATTGTACACAACGGTGGTCTTACATGGCTCATATGCTGTTGAACCTATTGAAAGGATTTGATCTTTTATCCAATCTTTAAACCACGAGGTATTCATGGATTGTAATAGCCTATCTGCCCTTCTTTATTGAACTAGAGGTCAAGAGGAAGTGAAGCTGGTGCTTCCTAAATTTGTCTTGGGATATGATGAATGGCACTAAATAGATAATAAACAATGAGCCAGACAGTCATTGATGTCTGGGTGGAAGCAGGAATTTAATAGGAGGCTAGAATCTCAAGCCTATACTGATGGTGAAATTTCTCATGAGAGAACCATAACTTTCCTTGAGAAGATGGTGTGGTTGATGCATCTTCCTTTTTTTAAAAAAACTTCTTTATTGAAATCCATGGATATCATACATGTTCTTAAATACACGTACAAAGAAAAGGTAATAGTGATAATAATAATAATAATCTTAAATAATTTTACCGTTAAATATTAATTTAAACTTATACGTGCTCTTTCCTTATATTTTCTAACTAAAAAATAAACCAAAGTAGAATCAAGTAAACTAAACCATATTAAAATAGGCTTCCCGTCATTTCCCGATGTACATAACATTTACAATATTGAATGTACTTATACTTATTACCTTACTCTTAATATACTCTATTACTTTCTTATAACATATTGGACCATTTCCCCTTATTTATTAATATTTGATTTACACAAGGGTAATTCAAATGCTGCCATCGATATTATATCGTCACTATATTTTTGGAAGTATTTCTTAAACATATCCCATTTTTGAGTAAATGATTGTTTTGTATTTCCCCTTAACCTATTTGTCATTTGAGCCACTTCTGCATAGTTTAGTAACTTGTTCTGCCATTCCTTTACTGTGGGTACTTTCTCCCCTTCCTAGTTGTTGCACCGACTCCTCATTCACCCCTCATCTATGAGAATTATGCTTTGATTTTTTCAAAAAATGTATTTTGTGTCTATGTAAATGATTGTCTTTATTTCTCTAGGAAACTCAGATGACCATGTGGGGTTTTCCTTTCATTCTCCAGATGGTCTCCCTAGCAAGGGAATGGACAAACCCAGTCAACTTCAGTGATCTTATATATATTCCCTTAAAGCAATTGGAATTAAAAGTCCCATGCTGAATGTTACCGTTGGAATTCCTGCTCCATGATTGCAGTCATGGGATTTTTGTCTATCACATGACGGTGTATGTTTTGACTCCACAGAGTGGGAAGTGACGGAGCCAGGATGTTTGTGTTACTGTGTTCCGTGAAGTGGGACTATTGTCCTTTGTTTTCTCTCTCTTTGCTGTCTGACGCTAGAGAGAGAGAGGGAGCCATGTTGCAGTGCTCCGTGTGTGTTTATATGTAAATAAAGTAGATTAGCCAAAATGCTGAGTTGTTGAGGTCTGTTACACAAACTACGAAGACTCTGCGGATCCCTAAGTGTGCCGGTGTCTGTTGGCATCAGTCGCTGTGATGTTCCGGCTGAAGAAAGCTTTTGAAGCTCCCGAAAGAACAACCAGGAGGGAGAGAATATGCCAGTCGGGCATGTGTCTCTGCCAGGGTCCTACTCGAGAGTAGGACGAGCTCCTGACAGTTACTTCTCTGATCACTCTTCACTTTACCCTGTAACTCAGTCACTGTAAGGACATCACTTAATGTCAAGGTGCTTCATCTCAGCTCATTTGATCACTACACATATTTGGGTGAAGCAAAATCCCAACAGACTTTTTTTTTCTTGAAAGAAAAAGAAAAGACACTTCAGAAGGGGATGATTTAGATCAGAGAAGCCAAAGAGGAAGGAGTACTTAATCCTGCTCTGATAATTACTCTGCTCTAAATTGCCCCCCTTCCACCAGCTGCTTTCTTCCCCACAGAATTTCACATCTAGGAAGGTAAAGATGCATTTGGAACACTTTGTTCAGTTGTGGGTGCATTGTGCAACAAGAGAAAGCAGCGTGCAGACTGGCAGGGGGGAGAGTTAGGTTAAGCCTACCAGCCTCAATTTCTCCCCCCAAAATGATTCTCTTCCCAGATCAGCTTTTCTTTCAAACAGGTTTTATTACATGCATTTGAAAGCAAGGTTTAGTTCAGCCCTAAGAAATGATACTTTCAATAGGATCCCTTAAAAGTGAACTGTAGGTATTACCTGGCTGGCTACTGTCAACAAGAACTAAATTAGTTCTGCTTTAATGTCTTCTTTTTATTATTATGATTACCATTAATTAATTAATCCATACTAATAATTTTTGACAGTTAATTCACAAGCTGCAATTCATAACGACAGCTTAAGAGGGGAGAAAACAAGACGATGAAATGGTGATAACCAATATATAATGTGTTAATCACTAAACTTCAAGTCATTAATATTATATATTTTCTTCTAGGACTAGAGTAAATCTTCTGGTATAATCTAATTAAAGTGGGTATTGTATAAATGTATATATTTTAAATATACAGCTTTCAAAAAATAGTAATTTTATTTTCTTGTTCCTTACCTACTCTGAATCTAATTAAATGCATAAGTACCACTGCTTAAGTATTCCATGGTCTTTTTAGCTGATTCTCTATCTGAGGATCTTCTCTGTTTTTCCCATTTCTTTGCAGTCACAATTCATGCTGCAATTATCATATTATTAACCTGTTCTTGGTCATTTCCAGGGACCACATCTTCATTATATTATCAAAAGCTTACTGGAGAGACAGGTAATACACAAAATAATCTTAAAAAAATAACCTCTGCGACATCATTCGAAAACTGATGGATTTTGCCATTGTTTCACTGCATATGGAAATAATCCTGGAGAGATACAATGCCAGTGCAGAGCCATTATTTCACTACTGATTCGGTTTAATTTAACTGGTGTTAAACGCTTTATCTTCCGGTGAAGTAATTACCCATTTGGAAGCTTACTAAAGAAAGTGAAAGGGATCCACGGATTATATATGCTAAGGGTTTGGGGTGGGGAATATGGGAAACAGCTGAGGAATATGCCAAGCTGGTGTTTTGAAAGGTGTTAGCTGCAAAAAGCTACTTAGGGACATAAAGGTAAAGGTAAAGGGACCCCTGACTGTTAAGTCCAGTCACGGATGACTCTGGGGTTGCGGCGCTCATCTCGCCTTACTGGCCGAGGGAGCAGGCGTTTGTCCTCAGACAGCTTCCAGGTCATGTGGTCAGCATGACTAAGCCGCTTCTGGCGAACCAGAGCAGCATACGGAAACGCCGTTTACCTTCCCCGTTGGAGTGGTACCTATTTATCTACTTGCACTTTGACGTGCTTTCAAACTGCTAGGTTGGCAGGCGCTGGGACCGAGCAACGGGCACTCAACCCTCACGGGGATTCAAACTGCCGACCTTCTGATTGGCAAGCCCTAGGGTCTGTGGTTTAGACATTTACCAGATTGGAATATTTGCACCTGCAACCCAATCCTTTATAACTAGAGATGCTCTAACTGAGCTCTGCCTGCTCCCATAGGGATTTCTGAATTACCTGCTTCAAAGAGGACATTTTACCTTGGGCAAAGATGCTCGGGAACCAGAGCTCTGCGTGGTCATAGTGAGCACAGTAGTGATGCCCAGACCAACTCGGGCAGGCGCAGCATCCATGTTGATCCAGAAGGAGATCCAGGAGAGAATTACAATCAGCAGACTGGGGATGTACATCTGGATCAGGTAGTAGCCCATCTGCCGCTCCAGGTGGAAACGAGCTTCTATGCAGGTGAACTTGCCTAGGAATGAACCAGGAAAAGGTTAGCCTAATAGGGATCAGCAGGGGCATGTGAGAGTCTTGATAGGAAGCATTTTTAGGCAAGAGGTCACCTGCTCAAATAACCATTTCCTACCCTAGGATTCAGCTATACAGCTGCAACTATAATGTTTTAAGTGCTCTATATACAAATGCGACACTAGATGGTGCTGATGAGCTAATGGCAAATTCCATATATATTTTACAACTTTTTTTTAAAAAAAACATTTTCACAGCGGTTTTTTATATATATACGGTGTGTATATCTATCTATACCATCTATCTATACCATCTATCTATCATCTATCTATCTATCTATCTATCTATCATCTATCTATCTATCTATCTATCTATCTATCTATCTATCATCTATCATCTATCTATCTATCTATCTATCTATCATCTATCTATCTATCTATCTATCTATCTATCTATCTATCATCTATCATCTATCATCTATCTATCTATCTATCTATCTATCTATCATCTATCTATCTATCTATCTATCTATCTATCTATCTATCTATCTATCATCTATCTATCATCTATCTATCTATCTATCTATCTATCTATCTATCTATCATCTATCTATCATCTATCTATCTATCTCTGTGTAGATTCAGCCCTGGGCACAATTTCAGGGCTGCTTCACAGGTGACACTTTCCCTAACAGGGCAAGTTTTGCAGATTGCAACATCCTAGTTAGTGTATATGTTGGGAAATTGTGTTGGGCAGTTGGTTCCCAGAGCAAAGTAGGCATAAGCCCTCACTTGCTTCCTGGTTTCTTTGTCCTTTCAAACAACAGAGCAACAAGTATTTAGCAGCTTCCTATCAGGAATACTAAACTGCAACCCACCTGTGGGGATAGATGTGTGCTCTTCAGCCTGCATATGTCTGAATTGAAGGAATTATTGAAACTGCATGCTCCATCTCCCAAATTAGAGGCATCCCATGTATACAGAGAGCGCTTGTTTACAAAACCTTTCAGAGATTTACTTGCAGATTCTATGAACTGTCAAGTGTTGGCAGATCCTACTTTTAAAATAGTACAGAAAACTTAAGGGGTTGCATCTAATGATAGTTCTGCTTAGAGTAAACTCATAGAAATTGAGGAACATGACTCACTTAGTACAACTTGCTCGGAAGATTATAGTAAGAATAATGCGAATGTTTGCTGTATTTTTTGGTATATGCCTTGGGTGCTGTATTCTTTCAGAAAAGGTGAGATATGTTGTTTTGAATAAAATAAATAAATCCTTTCCGGAGCTCCAGCTGCAAAGGCATGCATTTGGGAAAACAACCAGTTGTGGATCATATTTGCATGTAAAGGTCCTGCCACTGTCTAAACCCATTGAAATCAGTTGACAAGTCCATACATTTTGATGGGTCTACTCTGAATATTATTTAGTTGGATATCACCCAAGACATTCTAGAATTAGTAAAAAAAAATTAATTTCACAGGCAATATATTTTCTTCCTGAAAAATTAAGGGTTTTTTTGCTGACATTTTTCTTATCACAACTGAGATCCTCTAATTTTTGCAGTGTTTCTACCATTTCTACTTTAACTGCAAAGCAAGTTGATTTTTAAAAAAATAAATTGCCGTAAACCACAGAACAGCTCTCAAAATTTTAAATAAAATGTTGAGCATTTACTAATGTATCCAGTGTTTTCATTTGTTGTTTTGCTACACAAACACACTAGCTAAAGCTGCAATCCTTACCTGGTAGTGAGTCCCCCTGATTTTAATAGGACTTACTTCTGAGTAGACAGGGTTAGGCTTGCAGCCTAAGTCTCCTTTTTATCTGAACTTACTGCATGCTCTGTTCCCAGTTATATGGGACTCAAGCTCCAGAACTGTGATTATCTATATGTAACAAGAACCAGAGAGTTGCTGTAGCAATTTTTCCTGGATTCCCAGTACCATTCTGTATAATAAAGGCATTGGTATGACACCACTCCACTGTGTATTACCTCACCCTTGCCTAACATCGTAGGTTGCAGTGAGGGTGTGGAAACTAGCAATGTGATGACTAGGGGTGTTGGAGAATTCTAGTGAAACAGAAACAAGGTTGGAAATCATCAATGTTCACTTACTCATCCCATATTCAGACTGGAAATCAATCCAGCAAATGCAATGTTGTTCATGCTTTCAAGTTGCAACCAACATGCAATTGACTAGGGTTCCCCACCCCTGCCATTTGCATTGCATTTTCTTTGCACTGAAATGAATGGCATGGAGTAACAGAATGACAATGTGACTTAAGCAATTGACTTAATAAATTATGTCAATTATATCATTTTGCCACAGCAGACAGTGTGCCAAAAACAGGGCTTTTCGCAGAAGATGAGCTGCAGTGGAATGGAACCAGAGCAGCATGCAATGAACATGTGATACAACAGAAAATGATGCCTAGTGATGGAATCTTGTCACATTACTAGTAAGGAGGGAGGGAGTTCCACGTCTCTTGTAATATCTAGTTCTGCTTTTAGAGTGTTCCAAACACAAGAAGCTGCTGTAAATAACATTTTGGTCTGATGTAGCAACTTTGCTAACACACTATCGATTAGATGGCTCGTTGAACAAGTGGCGTGGTTGGTGTTTATCACTAAAGAGAAGTGCTGAACAAAATGTGTGGAGCCAGAATCTCATCAGTTGACTATTTCTAGGGAGGAACATTTAGCATATATCGGCCATCACTGACTTGCATTATAATGCTTAGCATGGTAATGCAAGAAGTGCAAGTCCACCACTGACCTGTATTGTAATGCTTCGTGCAGTAGCGCAAGTCCTTTTCTTCCTTTAGGATGAACTGAGGCAGGGTTAAATCATCAGCAACCTGCACAGCTCCTTTCTCTTGCCACTCAAATATCAGATCGTTCATTGTGTAGCCAACTATAAACAGCAGAGGGAAAAACAAAACACTTTAGCATGAACTGTGATTTGCACTGGATTCAAATGCTTGGAGGGGCCAAGAAATAATAGCCCCAAAGCTGCTTTGAGTTAGATGTGTTTCTGAACTCTGAATAGGTTCACTGTGGAAGGGATGTTGGGTGCACACATTTGCAAGCGTGGATTAATTTAAAGACATATAAAAAGAAGTGTACACAGGGGGAAATGGCAACGGGGGCTTAAGGTAAAATTCAGATGACCAACTGACATGGCTGACATTCACATCTAGTACAGTGGTGCATTGGTTCTCAAACTTAATCTGTTCTGGGAGTCCGTTTGACTCCCGAAACCGTTCGAAAACCAGGGCATGGCTTCCAAATGGCTGCAGGAGCTTCCTGCACTCAATCGGAAGCCGTGTTGGACATTTGGCTTCCGAAAAACATTCACAAACATACTTCTGGATTTGCGGCATTTGGGAGCTGATGTGTTTGGCAACTAAGCCATTCGAGAACCGAGGTACGACTGTAGTACAAACATTTTGTCTCTTAACAGCAAGATACACACATATAACGGATGCTGCTCCCAGCCAGACAGTTCACAATTTACAGGAGGGTCAAAACTAGATGCTAGGGTAAATGCAGAACTGCTACCTAGAGGGGCTGCTGCTCATTTAGTTTTCTCCTCCCCTTATCTGACACCTACATGCCTTGTGATGTGTCATCATGACATTCTGCATTATCTGGGCTCCGCCACTGGCAGCTAGTGATGTCGAGCAGGGGTGAAGAAATGTGAAACACCACAGCACCAAGAGTTCTACTAGGCATCAGGCAGACACCAGGGAACGAGGCAGATGGCAGCCATTTTTGTTGACAGCAGAGCATTCAGCACAAAAGCCTTCATCAACCTGGTGCCACTCAGATATAGCTGGACTACAGCTCCCATCAGCCTCAAAGGAGTTTGCTGTCCAATACCATCTGGAGGACACCTGGCTGGTGAAGATAGTGCCTTTAAATGGACTCAACAAGAATGAAGGACAGAGGACAAGGGCTGATAAATATTGAGCGAGTATTGTATCACACAGTCTTCTCCAGACAAAGGATTTTTGTTGTTGCCCTCTACCCCAGAGTATTCTCCACTGAGAATCTGTTGAAGCAAGCTAAATTTAAGCTGGACGGCTTGAACACTGGCAGGGAGTGTGATCAGAGAAGCATGAAAACTTGCACATGACAACACAGTCTGTCCCAATGCTTCATCTCTTCCTTCTTCCCTCCGGTTTCTCTTTCATAATTGGAGGATTCGGCTAAGAGCTGAACAGATGATGCAGTGGAAGTCTGTGTGCAGAATGGCAGCTATTTTTAGAGGGGAAACCTTCAAGACTCACAGCTCTCCAACTGCATAATACATGTCTGGACGTCCATGGGGAAGTTCTTCAGATCCATGGGACAAGCCAGTGTCAAGGTGATCCTGTGAAAGGAACAGAGACCGTGATTCGAGATGCTTCAAGCTGATGTGACAAGCAAGTTGCACTAAAGTCATTGGGGTGACAACTGAGGTGAGCAGGGGTCACCCTCAGGCCTATGGGCAGGGGAGGGAGATACAGAGAGCACAACCCCCTGACTTCTGGAAACAGGGCCATGCTCCAAACATTAACTCCATTTATGCTGCTTAATATTTATGCTCCCCAACATAGATATCTCCACATATAAAAAGGCAGAACATCCAGAGGAACCTATGAGGCAATCTTCACTGGCTATGAAAATTCAATTACATTTTTTTGGGTGGCAGGGGCAGGGGCAGGGGTAGCATTAAAACATTAAATTCCCTCAACCAGCAGTTTGAAATGCTCCATCACCAAGTCTGATGATCACGTGTGCCAAGTCTGATGATCACGTGTGCTAAGCACACAGCTATCAGGTGAGGAGAAAATGTTCCTACATGTTCTGTAGCAAGAGAAACAGTGAAAGCTACCAGTGTCAGAATCAGATTGGACCCATTTCCCCCAACAACAGCTGCAATAACAGGAGCACTTGCAGGTAATTGCATCAGAGAGAGACCCAGGTCAGGTCCACAACATTTTGCTACTTGAGGCGAAGGACGATATGGTGCGCCCTCCCGCAACCCCATTTGCTCTGCAGAAGCTGACTGGCAGCTGAATCGTACAACAATATTGGCAATGCAATAGCATCCTTCTGTGCACCCAAGGGTTGCAGGCGAGTTTTTAAGGGATGCCAGAACAGGCCTATGGGACATATAGGGCAGCTGACAACTAACTCATTCTGTCTGCACAAGGATTTTTTAAATCACACAACAGAATGTTTGCCCCTTGCCTTCATTTTGCAGATGCCCTGTGCTCTGAAGGGTTTTGAGGAAACCTATAAAGACTGAAGGGGGTGCATAGCGGGGAGGGTGGGAAGCCCTACTGCAACCGGCAGGAACCCTTGTGCTGATGGAATGAGTGGGTTGGATACCACCCATAGCTCTGATCTACGGGTGGAATGACCAAGGGGCTCAGGAGGAATGGCAGATGGAAAGACTGCTGTTGCTGTCTCTCAAAATCTGTCACATGGCATGAGGCAAATAGTGATAGGGTTGACCTTGGAGAGGTCCAACCCAGCTGATCCCTGATCTGTTCATTGTATGATGATGAACACAGTCCTACGGAAGATGCTGCCCCCCCTCTCATTGGGGTCCTTTCAGACCCTGCAATGGCCCCTGTTTAAAAAATATATTTTTTGTTTGTTTGTTTTTCCACCATTCATTCGAGGATCACAGGGCAGTTTACAATATAAAAACACAAAATTCCATAACATAGTAACGAACAAAAACAATAACACACACACATGGTTTAAAAGGTCATAGATTATTTAATTAGCCAAAGGCCTGGGAGAAAAGGAATGTTTTTGCCTGGCACCTAAAGGTGTTGAACAAAGGTGCCAGGCAAGCCTCTCCCAGTATCCCCCATCCTGTTTAGGGAGCACAGGGGCCCAAGAAAGAAAGGGGGGGGGAAGTCCCATTGAACGAGCAGACCTCATTCCCCCCCAAACATACTCAACTTAGCACACACAACAACTTGACTCCATAGGACTTTCTTCTGAGTAGGCATGACTAGGGTCATACTGTAGATCACTCCACCTTTCCCAACACCAGCCTCCATGAGTATTGCTCCTCCGTACACCTTTCAGACACGAGAGGTATGAGAACACATGTCTCTCACCTCTCCGAACAGAACTATAAATGGTAGGTCACCTTTGGTGGCAGTTGTTTTATTACCTACCTATTGTTAGCTGGAAAGCATTTCAAACAGCTGTGTGAATTAAAGCTTTAGGTTCCCAAAGAGCTGGGCTACGTGCTTGGACTACGGCTTTGCTGTCTGCTGCTTGAACTGAAGCCACCTCCTGGGTTTCCTCCCCCCTTCCTTTTTTGTCTGCATTACTACACTGGCTGTTTATTCTGTTCCTCGGCACACCAGCACGACACCTGCGACATGAGCCAGGTGTCCCCGTGGGATGTGCCCCTGTGCATTTTGGGATTGCACTGCAAGGCTTCAGCGAGCCAGAGTTTGCAAACATTGCACGAGTTCACAGAAAGGTAGTCTTTAGAATCTATTGTCAGCGCTTTCCCTCTCTAGCATTAGGCTGCACTTAACAGGAAAATTGCATATTCTTAATTGCATTCTTTTTAGGAGAGCGGGGAGGCGGCGGGAAGGGAGGTTCGGAGGTGGCTAGAATGGATTATTTCCAAATTGAAATCAGTGCGGTTATCTCAGTTCACATAGCATTAATCTGAAATCCAATGACCCAGAAATAACTGTGTTGAGAAATGGTGGGGGGGAAAGCCAGATCTATCTGGTTCTACTGTGTGATTTGCCCTCTCTCGAAATAATTTTCATTCTCCTCCAAGCAAAGGAGACTGAGCTGGAACATCTTTCAAACTGTAATATACCAGTGTGTGGAGAATCCCCTTATATATTCTCAAATTGTACCAAATTTTCAAAAAAGTGCTGCTGCAAAGGGCAGCACTAATGTCTGTCGCATGTTCTCTAGAATTTTTTTCTAGAATCTCTGTGGTCCACTGAGGTATTGCCATTTTACAAAGCAAGACTACGTACAGTAGTACCTCGGGTTACGAACTTACTTTGTTCCAGAGGTCCATTCTTAACCTGAAACAGTTCTTAACCTGAGGTGCGCTTTTGCTAATGGGGCCTGCCACTGCGCAATTTCTGTTCTCATCCTGGGGCAAAGTTCTCAACCCGAAGTACTACTTCCAGATTAGTGGAGTTTGTAACCCAAAGTGTTTGTAAGCTAAAGTGTTTGTAACCCGAGATACCACTGTACTCAGGATTTTGTAACAGTGAATCAGGCACAATGAATCACGGTAAAGTGATCCTGAATATGGGTGAAGTTTACACACCAAGGGTGGGAAACCTGCTCCAGGCTGTGATTGGCCTTCTGGGTCTCCTCCTGACCATCAGCTGTCTGGCAGCGAGCAGCTGAGAGGTCAAAGGGCAAAGTGTGCAACTGCAGTTCCTTTGTCTGCAAGACAATCAAGGCAGAGGGGAAAGTGTCTCGGCAGAGAGGCAGATGTGTTCCTTACAAATACTCAAAAAGTCATATATGAATTTTGCAATTGCATGCATGTAGTTTTTGGGATGCACATGCATTTTGAAAGTTGAGGTTTGAAACAGTTGTATGGCAGGCCTTGCAGTTTCCCCGTGTGTTGAGCTTATTTGGTGGATTCTACTTGAGATTACTGAGTTGCTTTTTGCATTTTGCACAGTCAGGAGATATAAAGGGTGCTAGAGAGCATCTCCTGCCCACCAACATTCACAAACCTTGGGGGAGAGGGGGAAAGGCTACAGAGAAAACGAAAAGGAAAGCTTCCGTGTATCTGTTTACATGGCAAATAGTTTTGTGCGGGTGTATATGTGTATGTAATTGTGTGCCTTCTTTTGGCTCTCACTCCACGCACCTCTTGAATGCAACCCCTGAGCTCTTTCTACTAGGAAGCACAGCTCCTGGCTTGAAAATGGCGCCCCATCCCTTCTACACAAACCTACTTTGGTGGGATTTTTGTTGGAATAGATATGCATGGGATATTGCTGCATGTGTTTTTTTCTATAGAATCTAAGAGGCACCATGCCCAGTCTGACTAATGTGTCATATGTTAAAGAAATCTAAGATAGTGGAAAAGTTTAGTGCAGCCCCTGGCACACTGGCCCTATTGTTTGCCCTTCTGATATAGGAACAAACCTTGGTGCCTGCTGGACCACGCCTTGTTGTCAGTAACCCTAGCCATCTTAGATCTTGTTAACTCATGTAGTGTAAGAACAAACAATTATCTCAGGGCTGAATTGGCCATTAAGCAAAATAAGCGCTATACAGTCATACCTCATGTTATGTCTGCTTCAGGTTGCATGTTTTCGTTTTGCATCCCACGGCAACCCGGAAGTACCGGAATGGGTTACTTCTGGGTTTCGCCGCTTGTGCATGCGCAGAAGTGCTAAATTGCGCTGTGCGCCTGCACAGACACAGCACTTTGAGTTGCGGGCTTTTCACGTTATGGATGGGCCTCTGGAACAGATCCTGTCTGTAACACGAGGTACCACTGTAATTTTCCATTGCCAAATTTACCATGGAACATAAGGTGCAGCTGAACCAGGTTCCGCAAAAAAGGCTCCCACAATATGCGTGTCATACGTTCAGGGCAACAAAAAATGTAAAAACAAGATTCAGTCATGCTGAACTTTACACAATAACTGTAGAAGACAATATTTTACGGTTTGTTATTGTTTATATTTCAAATTAGATATCTATGGGGGCACCAAAAACTTTTAAGTGCTTAGGGCTTCTAAAGGTCTTAATTCAGCCCTGAAATATCTTCACATGATTTCATGCTTTTGCAATATAATTTTAAATGGAACATTACTCCAGAATTCATGTTGCAGTCTAGTTCAAGATTCAACATATGAAGGACCCACACCCTGGAGACTTGCAAAGGGTCTCCATGCTTCCTTTTCTCACCTGATACTGTACAGGACATTCCCATTTCTGGCGATGCGCAGAAGTTTGTTATCTGTGGTGATCTCATGGAAATGAGCCCCTTTTTCATTAGCAAAGAACAAATCGGGTTTCCAGATGGAGTCCAACATGGATGGGTCCAAGTCCAAGGAATCATCTGGATACTCGTTGTATGCCAGCCGGGGGTCATTCCACTGCTGCCGCAAGAAAATATTCACTCTGTAATCCTGCATGGAAGAAAGAAAAGCAAAGTTATGGGATGCCCCAAGGAAGGTATCAGAAATGGCCAGAAACTGCAATGCTAAATGTGGCAGGAAGGGCACTGAAAAGCAGCTGAGACTGAATGAACAAAGCAAATGCAAAGTCTTTACTACTGCTAGGGTCAGGGTCTTTCTCTGCGAGTTTCGCTGCTGGTGCTATTTCTTCAGGAAGTTCCTGTATTTTTAGCTCTGTAGCCAAAGGGGTTATCACAGGGCAAACAGCTGCAGCCGACACCTGTTCCATGCTGCGATTTTCAGACCATCCATCGACAGACCAGGGCTGTGGTTTATCAGACTGAAGAGGGGATATTATCCAGGCTCATGGAATATGCACTGCAGGATCCTCTCCCAGGTTGGGCTGGGGTCACACAATGATGAAATACCTCTTTGGTATATTGAGAATGTGCAGAGGATGGAAGGTAGTTCTTGGGAGTATTCCACCTGTTTCTTAAGATTAATGGTAATTTCCAGAGCCCTTTAGAAGCAAGCAAGCAAGCAAGCAAGCAAGCAAGCAAGCAAGCAAGCTATTCTACAGTTGAATTTCATAACAGCTCTATGAGATCAATTCTGTTTTGCACATGGGTCTCCCATGGCCAAGACCTGGGGACACTAAGGAGGGAGAAGATTGGGCAAGGGAATGGCTTGCAACAGAACAAAGCCCAGAAGACAGTGCTCAGCCAGAAGGCTCTGTGAGAAGAAAGCCCCATTAACCAGCACTGCTGCTACCTCCCCAGCCCAAGAAAGTTGCCCCATCCTCATCTGAAGACTGCCTACAAACTCTCAGTAGAACAGGAGCCCCCATCCCCGTCACTGCCTGAAGAATCAAGCACTGATAACTTTCCCAGAGGGTGTGAAGCAGGAAACCTTGACCTACCTCTACAGCTCATTTGAAGTTCTGATTGTCTCCAGACCTTTCCTGGAGCAGCATCCTAGCTTGCTTGCTGCTGTAAAGGTAAAGGTACCCCTGCCCGTACGGGCCAGTCGTGTCCGACTCTAGGGTTGCGCGCTCATCTCGCTCAAGAGGCCGGGAGCCAGCGCTGTCTGGAGACACTTCCGGGTCACGTGACCAGCGTGACGAAGTGGCATCTGGCGAGCCAGCACCAGCGCTGCACACGGAAACGCCATTTACCTTCCCACTATAAAGTGGTACCTATTTATCTACTTGCACACTTAGGGGTGCTTTCGAACTGCTAGGTGGGCAGGAGCTGGAACCGAACGACGGGAGCTCACCCCGCTGCGGGGATTCGAACCGCCGACCTTGCGATCAGCAAGTCCTAGGCACTGAGGTTTTACCCACAGCGCCACCCGCGTCCCGCTTGCTGCTGTATCCATCTCAAATTTCCCTCAGCTCCATGTGGAGCTGTCCATGGTTCTGCTCTGTGCCCTAACCCTTGTCCCACTTGCCTCCTCCTCTTTAGAACAGGATAAAGGGGCAATCAAAGTTGAGAGTGTGTGGCTTATCATCCATGCATCTGCTTTGGCTGGACTAGATGGGCTATTGGCCTGATCCAGCAGGCTCTTCTTATGTCCTTATTACTGTCAGAGAGTGTGTGTTGGTACTGCAGGCTACATGGAAACTCCAGGAAACTAAAGCACTGAACTGCAGTTGCTGGGAGAAATGGAGGGAGAGCTATTGTGTGTTCATGGGCATTGGGTCTGCCATTGTGCAAAGCAGGGTGCTGGATGATGAACCTTTGATCTGATGGAGCTCTCTTCTTCTAGTGGCTTGGAGAACTGCATCTCTGACTTCAAGACATTTTTATGCACCTGGGTTGACCAGGTTACCTCTGATTTGTGGATTTTCATGCTGTCATATGTTGTGGATTTTTATTATGTTTTCAGATGTTCTACTTTTTGTTTGATCACTTTGTTGTATTGTCAAATTTGTTTTGATTTTTTTTAAGAAACCTATATTTTTTAAAAAGAATGAAAGTGCTACAGTATATGAAATAGGTAAAATAAATTAAGTAAATAAATAATCTAGTATGGCTTTTATATTCTTTTAAATATTCTTCAGGTAGATCTTTACAGGTAGAACAGGGGAGTGTGCCTTCAATATTTTATCAGGTAAAACACAGTGTTCCTCAGCTATCAGACCTTTGCAAAATTGTCCATCAGACCATACTAATTTCATTTTCAAAATATGTTACTTGCTCATTTTTTTTTTAAAGTTTCCACTATTATTTGAAACTAGCATGATGTCTCAGGAAGAGAGTGCAAGCCTGCATGCATGAGGTTCTGGGTTCAAGTTCTGATGGCTTCAGGCAGCAGAACAGTGAAAACTATTGCTTGAAGTCTCACAAAGCTGGGCTTGAGATCCTCAGTCAATAGTCCAGATTATACTCCTAGAGTAGATGGCCAGAATATACCCTGCAATATTTCATCCTCCAAAAGAATAGTAGTTAAATCATATACAAATCAATGAACAAATGTTCATGTTGCACATTATTTTTTTAAAATAGGAAATAATAAACATCTGGGAAATTTTTCTTTTTAATCATCAGGATTTTTTTTAAAAAAAACTTTAAAACAAATATCCACATTGCATAGTATTTAAAAAAGAAAACAAGCAGCATCTGGAAGATGCTTCCCAAAAAACATGAGAATTTTTTAAAACATCTGTTAACGGGATCTAATTTGAAATGTTCCAAATATACACATTTTCAGCCCTAAGCTATGCTTCTAATATAAGGAATGATTTCAGGCATGTCATACCAGAGCCAGTGTGGTATAGTGGTCAGTGTCCAATTAGGATCTGGGAGATCAGGGTTCAAATCCCCATTCAGCCATGAAGCTCACTGGGTTACCTTGGGCCAGTTCAGTCTAACATGGCTCACAGGGTTGCTGTGGGGATTGAGTGAGGAGAGGGAGAACCATGTATGCTGCCTTGAGCTCCTTGAAGGGAAAGACAGGATATAAATGCAATCCATCCATCCTCTTCAGCTGTGACATGGGTTTGCCCAATGCATGTGAGGATGTTGTGAGTAGACCCAGTCTCCATGCCTCCCCCATTTGAGCCCTCACAGATTCTTTTTTCAGTGCCTGAAGATTGCAGGCCACAATGTGACAGAATGGAAAACAAAAACAAAGCCAGCACAAGAAATGAGTTGAACGAAGGAGCCCTTAGAGATGTCATGGATAGGGTGTTGGTCTTAGATCTGAACCCAGCCAGGAAACTTACTGAGCAGCCCTATCAAACAACCTCACAAGACTGTTGTGAGGATAAAGCGAGATAACTGGCATAGCTCAGTGGCTAAAGATATGAGTGGAAACATCTCAGGTTCAAGCCCCACCATCAAGAAAGAATCCATAGGATGGCCTTAGGGAAGCCAGCCTCTCTTTCCCTCTCCATCTGAAAATAAGGAGATAATGATACTCATTTCCTTTACAGGGCTGTAATCACGTATATGAAGTTCCTCGAACATTCACATATTCCACAGAAATGCTAGGGAATGGTGTTCTAATCCAATATATTCTGCCTGAGCAACCCCGAGGAGAACAGATATACAAATCGTGTAACAAATAAATTCTTTTTGCGGGAAGAGTCATAGCTCAGCGGTAGAGCATCTACTTTGCATGCCAAGTGTCCCAGATTATTTGTTTATTTCATTTATAAATCACTTCCCATGAGGCAACCTGAAGCAACTCACAATAAAAATGCATATAAAACAGTTACAAATATAAAAGAAACTAATACAATTGCACATGCATAGTTTAAGACAATAACAGTGCTTGCATGGAATCACTACCCACCCAATACAGATGTCAACTGGGGTAAAGTCAGTTAAATTCCTGGCATCTCCAGGTACAGCAGAGACTGTACCCCATCTGAAACCTAGTATAGTATTTAGCTTTCTTCCTGTGCCAAAGAAGAGAAGGACGTGTGGGATGTGTGTGTGTGTGTGTGTGTGTGAGAGAGAGAGAGAGAGAGAGAGAGAGAGAAAGCAAGAGCACACAAATGGTGCTGACCCTATTAGAGATCCCTGTTGTTCATAGGGGTGTCCCATCCAGCTGCAAACCCAGACAGTACTGCAGACTTTATGGGCTTGCCCTCTAATTTAATGGAAACTTGTCTTGCCCGTGCTATTGAGAATGACATTTGCTTCACTGTCTCATGTCTTAACAGCTCCCCTGTGTTGTCGCCAGGCCAAGCCAAGCCAGACCCTTTCCCTGGACAATAGGTGGTAGCCCTGGTTTCCTTTGTCTGACCAATGGCTTCCCTTTGCCATCTGCCCTCCTGGGCTTCGCGTGAGAAAAGAAGCCCTTTTCGCAAACAAAGAAGGCGATAAAAGCTCCCGGTCCCTTCCTTCATTTGCATTTTCAATGTGCTTGAGGAATGGCAGGTCATAAACCAATTTCACTGCCCTTGACCAAATTAATTGTTAGGATTAGGATTTATGGTTTTTATTTAGTGCTTTTCTTACTTGGGATGACCTGAAGCAGTGAGTCAGACGCCGATAATAAAGTGAAGGTGTGTGCAGAAGCCATTATATGTGTGCTCACTAGTAACTAATACATAACCGCAGACAGAAGCAGCTGATCTTTTCTCTTAATGCAAATCAATGGTGCTTAGAATTACTGCCTATTTTTGGAAATTTGCCCTCAGCTAGAGGTGTGTTGAAAACCGTCGTGAAAGCAGCCTTGAATGTGCACAACAGAGGACTTTCCCAAAACTGGAGATAGGTTTATAAATGTGGAGCAAGGTGGTAATTGAACAGCTGGAGTTTAATGGAATTTGCTCCAGATATTCTAGGAACAAAGGTGCCAGCTTATTTACAGTATTCATACATTTATAAACTGTCTTTCATTATAAAACAACAAGGCAGCTTACAGAATGGAATTAATACAACAAAACAGGAAGACCCTAAAAGCACAAATACCAGAATTTCCTACAGAGGTGGTACTAGAAAAAGCTCCAGAATGCAGTCAGGCATGTTGTTGTTGTTGTTTAGTCGTTTAGTCGTGTCCGACTCTTCGTGACCCCATGGACCAGAGCACGCCAGGCACTCCTGTCTTCCACTGTCTCCCGCAGTTTGGTCAGACTCATGTTTGTAGCTTCGAGAACACTGTCCAACCATTTCGTCCTCTGTCGTCCCCTTCTCCTTGTGCCCTCAATCTTTCCCAACATCAGGGTCTTTTCCAGGGAGTCTTCTCTTCTCATGAGGTGGCCAAAGTATTGGAGCCTCAGCTTCACGATCTGTCCTTCCAGTGAGCACTCAGGGCTAATTTCCTTAAGAATGGATGCGTTTGATCTTCTTGCAGTCCATGGGACTCTCAAGAGTCTCCTCCAGCACCATAATTCAAAAGCATCAATTCTTCAGCGATCAGCCTTCTTTATGGTCCAGCTCTCGCTTCCATACATCACTACTGGGAAAACCATGGCTTTAACTATACGGACCTTTGTTGGCAAGGTGATGTCTCTGCTTTTAAGATGCTGTCTAGGTTTGCCATCGCCTTTCTCCCAAGGAGCAGGCATCTTTTAATTTCGTGACTGCTGTCACCATCTGCAGTGATCATGGAGCCCAAGAAAGTAAAATCTCTCACTGCCTCCATTTCTTCCCCTTCTATTTGCCAGGAGGTGATGGGCCCAGTGGCCATGATCTTCGTTTTTTGATGTTGAGCTTCAGACCATATTTTGCACTCTCCTCTTTCACCCTCATTAAAAGGTTCTTTAATTCCTCCTCACTTTCTGCCATCAAGGTTGTGTCATCTGCATATCTGAGGTTGTTGATATTTCTTCCGGCAATCTTAATTCCGGCTTGGGATTCATCCAGCCCAGCCTTTCGCATGATGAATTCTGCATATAAGTTAAATAAGCAAGGAGACAATATACAGCCTTACCGTACTCCTTTCCCAATTTTGAACCAATCAGTTGTTCCATATCCAGTTCTAACTGTAGCTTCTTGTCCCACATAGAGATTTCTCAGAAGACAGATGAGGTGGTCAGGCACTCCCATTTCTTTAAGAACTTGCCATAGCTTGCTGTGGTCAACACAGTCAAAGGCTTTTGCATAGTCAATGAAGCAAAAGTAGATGTCTTTCTGGAACTCTCTAGCTTTCTCCATAATCCAGCGCATGTTTGCAATTTGGTCTCTGGTTCCTCTGCCTCTTCTAAATCCAGCTTGCACTTCTGGGAGTTCTCGGTCCATATACTGCTTGAGCCTTGCTTGTAGAATTTTAAGCATAACCTTGGTAGCGTGTGAAATGAGTGCAATTGTGCGGTAGTTGGAGCATTATTTGGCACTGCCCTTCTTTGGGATTGGGATGTAGACTGATCTTCTCCAATCCTCTGGCCACTGCTGAGTTTTCCAAACTTGCTGGCATATTGAGTGTAGCACCTTAACAGCATCATCTTTTAAAATTTTAAGTAGTTCAGCTGGAATACCATCACTTCCACTGGCCTTGTTATTTGCAGTGCTTTCTAAGGCCCATTTGACTTCACACTCCAGGATGTCTGGCTCAAGGTCAGCAACCACACTACCTGGGGTGTACGAGCCATCCATATCTTTCTGGTATAATTCCTCTGTGTATTCTTGCCACCTCTTCTTGATGTCTTCTGCTTCTGTTAGGTCCTTACCACTTTTGTCCTTTATTATGGTAATCTTTGTACAAAATGTCCCTTTCATATCTCCAATTTTCTTGAACAGATCTCTGGTTCTTCCCATTCTGTTGTTTTCCTCTATTTCTTTGCATTGTTCATTTAAGAAGGCCTTCTTGTCTCTCCTTGCTATTTTTTGGAAATCTGCATTCAATTTCCTGTATCTTTCACTATCTCCCTCGCATTTTGCTTGCCTTCTCTCCTCCGC